ATTCAGATAATGATAAGGTTCATAGTGTAGAAAACGAAACTACAGAACCAACACAAGAGGTTAGCTCAGACAGTGAAACCGTTAGGGAAGGTAAGAATGTTGATACAATTTTATCTTCAGAAGCAGAAATTCAACAGACTTCTAAAGAATATGTAACAGAGAAATGTAAAGAATCCTCAGATGTTCATATGGAGTCAGAAGATTTTGAATCTATTAATAAGGAGGAGGATGAAGCAAATAATGTGATTAAAAATATTCAATCTTCCACTGCTACAGATTTTTCAGTTGGATCTACTGAAATTCTGGAAGAAGATGTGACTCAGGATACGTCTATGTTGGATAATTCTTCAGCTTCTGAAGAAAAATGTATGATCAATCCTAAGTCATGTAAAGAAAAGATTAATGAAAGTGGAATTCAAGAAACATATAAAAAGGGTGGAGAAAAAATGAAAGATGATAATTCTGGTTCTAACATAGATACAAATTTATCTGAAGATATTTTAGCTGATAAATGGAAGGTGAACAATTCCGATAAAAATTCTATGCACACGGTATCAGTAGAAAAATTGGAAGACGAAAGTGAGAACGAATATGATATTGTTTTAGTTGATAAGGAAGCGTGGCAGGCTACAGAAGATATGAGCAAAGAAGAAGAAACAAAGAAATCATTCAATTACGGTTTAAATGACATTGTAGTAAAAGCACAGAAAGATACGCAGGAAGTACAAAAAATGGAAATAGATGTATCAGAGGGACAGTGTAAGATGAACGAAATTAAATCTCCAAGGGCAACAATTTTACGACAGTCTACACAACGAGAAACAATTAATGATAACGAAAATGTAACGACTAATTCAGAAAATGCAGAGAATGTGTGTATGCAAAAATCGTCAGCAGAAGAAGCACAAAAAATGGAAATAGATGTATCAGAGGGACAGTGTAAGATGAACGAAATTAAATCTTCAAGGGCAATAATTTTACGAGAGTCTACACAACGAGAAACAATTAATGATAACGAAAATGTAACGACTAATTCAGAAAATGCAGAGAATGTGTGTATGCAAAAATCGTCAGCAGAAGAAGCACAAAAAATGGAAATAGATGTATCAGAGGGACAGTGTAAGGTGAACGAAATTAAATCTTCAAGGGCAATAATTTTACGAGAGTCTACACAACGAGAAACAATTAATGATAACGAAAATGTAACGACTAATTCAGAAAATGCAGAGAATGTGTGTGTGCAAAAATCGTCAGCAGAAGAAAGTCCTGAAGAATCTACTCTGCACAATGATACATCAATGGAAAAGAAAATAGAAAACAAAGATTTAATAACAATGAGTGAGGAAGATCAAAATAAATTATTTACTGATTTATCTACAGATAAGAATAAATCACCTGACAATATTTTAAAGAAACGAATGTCTCTTTGTAAGTCTGTCGAAATGATAAATAATGAAATTGAAGAATCCAGTGAATCTAAAACTTCGGAAAAAACGAAATCAATTAATAAATCGCATGATACACCATTATGTGATTCTTCAAGTAACTCTAGTAAGTCGGATAAAAGTATAGATTCTGATATTGAAAGGGAATATAATTTGCATGGCGAAGAACCATCCAAGTTCTTGGATGACGACGTGCCAGGTGATGAGTGCAGAGCATCAGAAACTGAATCATCGGATCCTAATGATAATGGATCGGATCTTGCAGATTTTGTAGTGAATGATGATGATATTTCTGAGGAGGAAGAAGATCAGAAAATTGAGAGTGACCAAGAATTGTATAATAATGAAAATAGTGAAGTTCAAGAAAGTGAACTGATTGAAGAACACGAGAAAGAGCAAATTCAAAAAGAAATTGAGGAGGAAGTAATGAAAAAAGAACAACAGAATAAAATTCTAGAAAGAAAGATTGAAACAGTAATAAATAAATCCACGGATACTACGAATCGAAAAACAGGTATATCAAAGAAATCCATAAATATAAATTTACCTGAAATGTTCGAAAGAGATAACAAAAATGAGAAGATATCGAAAATCGAAGGAGATAATAAAAGAAGAAGAAATAATAGTATAAAGAATAATGGTGATGACAGGGTAAACACAAAAAGAATAAAGTATGAGAAAGAATATAGGAATCAAGCAATGGGATCTAATACGACAGAAGTATCGAGGAAGGGCGTGAAACGTATTTCTGAGGATATTTCTGGAAATTTGAGGGTGTCGAAGAAAAGAAAACAATCGCAGTTTGAGAAACAAGAATTTCCATCGCGTTCAATGAGTAATTTAATGATTAAGAAGAATAAAATAAGTGTAGAACACGTTAATTCAGTAAGTTTCTATGGAAGCACAACAAATTTTTCTGTAGAAAATCTTCGTAAGGTGTCGAAAAGTAGGAAAACCTGATACTTGCAGTAATTCAGACAAACAATGCTTTAAAGAAATGCACGTCAAAGTGTTTCACTTTATTTAATGTATTTAGAGAATATAAATTTCTTAATAAATTATATTAAATACTTACTTTATATACGTTTCATTATTGATTGTTTAATAGTTATAAGGCAACTTGGGTAATTCACTAATGAAAAACCATCAAACCAGCATAAAGTTTAAAAAAGGATGTGATTGTTTGAGTTCTTTAGATTCCCTTGATAGATTTCATTGTGATAATTGCTGTTATTTTTATATTTTATTACAAATAATTGAATTGTAAACTAATTCTATAAATATAAAGCACTGATAATAGTTGCTAATTTTAATCTTAATAAATCTGTAAGAAAAATAAAATATGTTTACTTTTTTTTCTTTTTTTCGTATACTTTCTATAAATTATTATTCATGTACAATATTTGAACTTTTATTGATTGTGTGTTTGGACAATACAAAATGAAAGAGTTTATTAAAAATACAATGATTGAGTATACATGTAAGAGAAGATTTTCTTTAAAACGTAATATTATTTCGCAATTTTGTGCGTAATATTTTACAATGAATATTAAATTTGTTGGTACAATAATATTAAAATCA